ATGTCGGGCTCCCTGCTCAGCAGGGAGTCTGTTTCTCCCTCTGACCCTCTTCCCTCTCATGCTCTCTATCTCTCATTCTCTCTCTCTCTCTCAAATAAATAAAATCTTTAAAAAAAAATAAAACTCAGAGGAAATCCTTCTGTAGATTTTTTAATGAATACAGAGTAATTACAAGACTTCTAAAATGACTAGGTTTTCCCACAACCCCAGAGCCTCTAAGAATGAATAAATGAATGAATGAATGAATGAATGAATGAATGAATGAATCTTACTTAACTTTCCATAATTTGGGTCTGTTTTTGCCATATAAAAAGGATTGCATACTTCAGGATCAGAAAGGTCTCCAAATACAATTTCCTTTAGGAAAAAAAAAATACACCTAAGAGCAAATCACTGCATACGGAGGTGTTTTGAGATTCAAAAAAAGCCAAATGCTTTATTCTGCTTTTATATAAAATCATAGATTCAAAGGGTTATTTATTTATTCAAGGAACCTCAGAAGTAATTTAGACTGCAGTGAGAGCCCACCACCTTCTGGGAGAAGTAATCATCAAGCTTTAGTCTGAAGTAATCAACCAGCCTTAGTCTGAGAACTTTCTGCTCCACCAGGCAGGTACTTTGGTCATTCTAAGCAACAGTTTTTCCTTAGACTGAGCTGAAATCTGCCTTGTCACTGGACGGGGGGGATACTAGCTCTCTACCCCAAAGCAACACAAAAGTTATCTACCCATCACTCACATGCCAGCCTTTTAAATATTTAAAGTTTTCATTCCCTCTCCTGTCCTCTCCTCCTTGGGCTAAAAACCCCATATTTCTTCCCACTTTTCCTCCCGCTAAGTGTTGTCAAGCCTTCACCCTCTTCTCAAAGTTCGGCAACTGGTGAGGGTCCCCTCTACAGTGCGCATGAGGAGTGACAGACAGCAACAGGGAGTCCCACCTCCCTTCATACAGCCTAAGAGCTCAGATGTTTTCTTAGAAGTCAGCTCCCACAGTCGACCCACCCTGATTTTACTGTCATTTAAAACCACTCACACTTATGGGCACCTGGGGAGCTCAGTCGGTTGAACGTCTGCCTTTGGCTCAGGTCATGGTCCTGGGCCCCAGGATTGGGCCTGCTTCTCCCACTCTCTGTGCCCTTCACAATCCCTACTCGTGCTCTCTCTCCTGCTCTCTTGCATGTTCTCTCTCTCTCTCAAATAAATAGTCTTAAAAAAAAAAAACAACTCACACCTCAACACATGCCTTTAAGAATTTATTTATTTGAGAGAGACAGAGACAGAGCATGAGTGGGGGGAGGAGGCAAAGACAGAGGGAGAAGCCTACTCCCCACTGAGCAGGGAGCCCGATGCGGGACTCAATCCCAGGACCCTGAGATCATGACCTGAGCCGAAGGCAGACGCTTAACCGACTGAGCCACCCAGGCGCCCCAACATATGCCTTTTCTAAGGCATGGCTTCATGGCTTCCCCATCCTATACTTGTGCAATCACATTTCTGGGCACAATTGTAAGACTGTGCACTTTGGTTTCGACACTGAGCTCTGCCTCTTAGAATGCTTAGGATGAAGTATTTAATGTTTATATACAGAAATTTTGCTCAGCAAATAAATACTCTGACATTCCAGGCAAACTACTCTAGAGCTCTAGTCAATACCTGGAAATCTAGACAGACCTAAATTCCAAAAGAGGGTCCTGATCTCAAAGTTAAAACAGAAAAAAATCTTCAAAAGCAGCAGTCAAAATTTTATTGTTTTGTAAAGCCAAACTGAAGAACAGTATGTAGAAACCAGTGGTCCCTATGCCTAGTGGTTGGTTAACTCAACAGCCATGGAACCCCCTTCTCCCTCGCCCTCTTCCTACTCGAGAGATTGGAAAGCCACACACTCTCTTTCCTCGCCCTGCTTCTAGCTAGCATTTGTGATATGACCCAGTTATGGACAATGGGACCTAAGGGGAAATCTGCTAGGAGCTTCTGGGGACTCTCTGCTTCCATATCAAAGGATCAGGTATAAGAAAAGGGTACCCTGGCACCATTCCTTACCCCTTCTTCCCGCCTTGAGCACAGATCTAACACCTGAAGCTGTAAGTAACCAAATGTGCTTACAAATATAAGAGTGATGAGGAGGGCGCCTGGGTGGCTCAGTCGTTAGGCATCTGCCTTCAGCTCAGGTCATGATCTCAGGGTCCTGGGATCCAGCCCCACATCAGGCTCCCTGCTCAGTGGGGAGCCTGCTTCTCCCTCTCCCAGTCCCTCTGTTTGTGTTCCCTCTCTGTCTCTATCAAATAAATAAAATCTATAAATAAATAAATAAATAAAATTTGAAAAAACCTCACAGTACCCTTTTATTGGTGTGCTGTAAAAAATATTCAAAATTCTCGTTTCATTTTTTCCGACCCTCCGTATGAAATTACTTTGTAATTCTCTGCTGAAGAGGCTCTGCAACATTTTCAATCCATTTTTTATGTAACATCTCTTTTCTTCTTTCCTTGAAAATATCCAGATGCTGAAAATATGTATCCAATCTCTAATGAAATGATACAAACAAGGAAAACAAATTATTAAGAAGTTTTTTACTTACCCTCATTTGAACAAGGGGGGAAAACACTTGCTCCCACTCCTAAGCTCTCAACATATTTGGGTTGCAAGGTCCTAGCATGAGATAACTGAAGAACATAATAAAGTTCAGGAAGAGAACCTGAGAGCATAGAGCAGGAGGAAGCCAGGAAAACTTCTAAACCGGAAGTGATTTAACCTGCCTTCAGGTTAAATCACAGCCAAACCATTCCTAACTCATGAAACTCTTGCTTCTTTTTAAAGATTTCAAAGCTTTCCTGTTACCCATGGCATGTCCCCAGGCTTCATCCTCAGTAAAGTCTGTGACAAAATTGGTAGAGTACACTAGACTTGCTCCAGCACCTCTCTCTGAATCTATAGGAGGCCAATCCTCTCTTTTGATGCTCAAACGAGAGTATATGTGAACTTCCTTTGTAAATTATAAATTACAATACAAACATTAAAGTACCATTTTAACACCAAATTTCAATCTCTCTCATTAAAATTAAAACTCCTTTGGGGCACCTGGATGTGTTAAGCATCTGACTCTGGGTTTCAGCTCAGATCCTGATCTCATGGGTCCTGAGATGGAGCCCCTTGTTGGTCTCTGTGGGGAGTCTGCTTGAAGATTCTCTCCTACGGCCCCTCCCCCCCATTCACTCTCTGAAATAAATCAATCTTTAAAATTAAACTCCTTTAAGTTTATTGGGGTGCCTAAGTGGCTTAGTCGGTTAAGTGTTCAACTCTTGATTTCAGCTCAGGTCATGATCTTAGGGTCCTGAGGTCCAGCCCCACATCGGGCTCCAAGCTCAGTGGGGAGTCTGCTTGAGATTCTCTCCCTCTGCCCTTCCCCCTCCCACTCATACTCTCTCTCAAAAATAAATCAATCTTAAAAAAAAAATCATCTCCCTTTCTTTTTGCCCCTCCCCCCTTGTACTCTCTTAAAAGAAAAAAGAGAGAAAGAAAAGGGGGAAAAAATCTCCTTTAAGTTTATTTATTTCATAGTAACTCTCAGTACTAATTGGTCATTACCCTTAAATACTATTTCTGGTGGTTTTACATAGCCCCATTGTGATGTGGGAACATATGAGAAAGAGATAAGTTTGAGTCAGAAAGAATTTCTATTCAGTACCAGAACAAAGAGGGGAAGCAGTTAGAACAATCTCTTGGATCCCTTACGGGCAGATCTAGGACCCCTGACCTCTTAGTGATCCTGCAAGGAGGTGGTGCAATCTCAGATCTATGTTGTATAAATAAAGGAATCAGAGGAGGCTCCTTCTCCCAGCAAAATGAATCTCTGTGACGTAGTAACACCCTCTTGGCCATGCACCACTCTTGCTTACCTAGAACCCACAGTCTGTAGCCAACTCTTACTTTCGCAACGTAATTTTCTCTAAATACTATTGCATGTACAGCTTCATCAATGTCTTCTCTAGCTAATGCCTAAAATTACAGAATTGATTAGGATGTAAATCCTGAAGAAACCAACCAGAATGACAAAACTCATTGTATTTTACCAATAGTTTTACTGTATATCCACTGCCTGTTACTGCAAAGAATATTCTGTAACTTTTTATTAAGGAAATTTTCAAACATGATTCTCTTGTGAACCCATCACCCAGGTTCAATAATTATCAACTGAGAGTCAATCGTAGTTCATCTAAATCCCTACTCACTCTCCCCAGCCCTCCCACCCAGATTATTCTGAAACAAATCCCTTACACATCATACCATTAAATCATATTTTTGAAGTACTAAGAAAGCTTACTAATTAAAGGGATCCTCTAAAATGAATCCTCTTTTCAGGCATTCACTAGGTATGTTTCAAAGTGCCCCTGAAGTTCCCGGCTTCTGCTAGGTCTCTTTATAAGTCAAAGCCTTTTTTTTTTTTTTAAAGATTTATTTATTTATTTGACAGAGGGAGACACAGCGAGAGAGGGAACACAAGCAGGGGGAGTGGGAGAAGGAGAAGCAGGCTTCCCGCCGAGCAGGGAGCCCGATGCGGGGCTCGATCCCAGGACCCTGGAACCATGACCTGAGCCGAAGGCAGATGCTTAACAACTGAGCCACCCAGGCACCCCCAAAACCTCTTTTTAAGTAAAAAAGAGCCAGTTAGTGGCAGCTCCTGGCCAAGGACCAAGATTGTCTTTCATCTAGAGACTTGCTGTTTCCATTATGAGTTTGAATAAAGCTGATGCACTTAAAACCTCACCTTAGGGCTTTTCATTTGGATCACCATGAACTGATCTTCCAGCTTTTATGCTTATAGGACTAAGTAAGAACAAGTGGGAAAACAATAAAAATCCAGTATCTGGAAGAGAAATGCTATTACCCAAAAGAACTGTGTAAAAAGATCCAGGTTCTTAAAACTGTATTATTCAATCTCTGATTCTGCCACAGTGAATGCATCAAAACAAACTAAACCCCAAATCAAATAACACATCGGTGAATAAGAGGGATCTCAAAAAGGAGAGTTGTAGCTTTATCCATACATTTAACAGCAACAAATGAGATCTAAAGTAATATTCAAACAGCTATTCCGGTCTTCAAAATAAAACTCTCTTGATAATATAAGCAGAATCTTGCTTTAAAGCCTTCTTAGACTTACTTTAAGACAGCAATTGGGGCGCCTGGGTGGCTCAGTTGGTTAAGCAACTGCCTTCGGCTCAGGTCATGATCCTGGAGTCCCGGGATCGAGTCCCTGGATCGAGTCCCGCATGGGGCTCCCTATTCGGCAGGGAGTCTGCTTCCTCCCTCTGACCCTCCCCCCCTTCATGTGCTTTCACTCTCTCTCATTCTCTCTCAAATAAAAATAAATAAAATCTTAAAAAAAAAAAAAAGACAGCAATTGAAAAATCATGTAAAATAATTTTTTTTAATATTTTATTTTATTTATTTGAGAGAGAGAATGAGATAGAGAGAGTACATGAGAGGGGGGAGGGTCAAGGGAGAAGCAGACTCCCCACTGAGCAGGGAGCCCGATGCGGGACTCGATCCCGGGACCCCAGGATCATGACCCGAGCCAAAGGCAGTCGCTTAACCAACTGAGCCACCCAGGCGCCCATGTTTTCCCCTGATGCTATAAACTCAAAATAAATCAGTCTATTTATTTGGAGAAGTAGAAACATCTACTTTAACAAACATCTTGGAAAACCACATTTTTTTAGCCATCCTATTAATGTTAGAAAATGTTATAAGTACTACTGATCACGTGTCCGACTTTTGAACCACCTTTTTGATGGAAATAAAGTTTTTGCCTTCAATAGCTCCTTCTTTGTGATTTCGCCAGAAAAGAGAGGAAGATTTCTGGCAACACTTTTAAAACCCCCAGTTTTCTGTCTGCACACGCACCAATACTAAAGGTCTCACCACTCTTAACTGCTACCACGGCAAAAGAAAGGAAATATCCAAGAGCTTTTCTTTACAGTGAGACAAATTATAGGATCATATAAAATAATGAAACTTTATGAGGAAATCTTTGCTTTACCAGACCCTTAAGTATCAGAATTCACTGGGGAGTGCAGTCCGCAGATGGCGGGGACAGTCGGGCCACACTCTTGGCCACCTTTGATCGTGGATCGTTCATTCCCATCCACGGCATTGTTTTCTCTGCCAGGCGCTGTTCTAGTTCTGGGGACTACAACCGTGACTGAGACAAAATAGTTCTCAGGGGATTTATGTCCCACCGCCCAAATGACTATCGTCCCAAAACGCCACGTTCCTTTACCTCCATGAAAGCAACTGACTCTGGCTCTGGCCATTCTTTTAATCTTTCTGGCCTGAAATGTTCGCCATAGGCGAGCGCTTTCTTGGAAGCCATAGGTAACAGGATCCCTGAGGGGAGAGAGTAAATCCAAGAGACTTCGTAATGCAGAACACAGTTTGAATCCCCGCTCTGCCATGTCATCCTTGAGTAAAACAAACAGAAATCCTTGGCGCGCTGGAGCTTCAGTTTCCAAAGGGGTGGTTATGCCTCCCCCACGTGCGGCTGCGGGGTCGGCCAGGGTCCCTGACTGCCACTCCCATCCCTGCCCACCCTCCCGCAGACTCCCCGCCTTGGTGGAGCGCCTGGCACCCCCTACCCAGCCGGCTAACCCACTAACCCACCGCCAGCGGGTGACTGGCGACCCAGGATTGCAGGGAGGGAAAAGGGAGCGTCCTTTTAAAACCAAACTATAGCACTGGGCTGAAACCTGAGCCCCGCTTCCCTGGAAGCTCCTGTCCCAGCAAGGGACGTCAAGGGTGGGGGAGGTCAGGGCGGAGGCGGCCCGCACACGAGGGGCCTTCGACTGCCCAATCCAACGCCACCCTATGTTTTGTTCCAAATAAACTGACGTCTTGTAAATTAATACTACAGAGAACGTACGGTTTACCTGTATGATCTAGGGCTATGATTAGGAGAGGGGTGATTTTTAGCATCCCCTTTGTCTAAGGAAAACAAAATCCTGCTCTCCTTCTAGGTCTTACTGTGTCTTCCCCTGACTAGGGGTCAGACTCAACATGAGCCAGAGGGTGACACGCAGAATCAAAATCAGCAAGTGGGTAATCATACTCAAAATGAATTCTTAAATTTTCCGAAGACTGTTAGAAAAACATGGCAAGGGGAGCCTGAGTAGCTCAGTCGGTTAAGGGTCAGCCTTCAGCTCAGGTCATGATCCCAGGGTCCTGGGATCAAGCCCCACCTGGGGCTCCCTGCTCAGTGGGAGCCCGCTTCTCACTCTCCCCCCTGCTCATGCTCTCTAATAAAATCGGAAGTGGGGGAGGGGAGAACATGAGGCAGTGGATGTTAAGGGTACCTGACCAAAGGGGACACACCTACCTTGACTCAGGAAAGATCAAGTGAATTGAGATAGGCACTCAGTAAGGTAGCTATCATTATTTTTATTGGATCTTTCAGGCAATATTTAACTTCTGCAGAAAATACCTTGGCAATAACCGTCAATACATGGTATTGTGATTTCTTAATTATCATACAGACGCTGTACTCAAAAAGTGGTTATTGCAGGTGCTTGAGCGCCTTCCTTGGTCCTCACCCCGAATGAACCCTGCTGGCAGATGACTTCCTCCGGAACAGCCTTCTTTTGTGTTCCTCACCAATCAGGGATCAGAGTGTGTGCTCCTTGGTTGCTAAAACCTTTTGAAGGTGACAGAAAAGAAGAATGATGTGTGACATAGGAACGGGGAGCCTACAAGAGCAGAAAGAGTTCCTCAGCCCAGCTGAGCTGACACCCCACCCCCCCGCAACGAAGCCTTGTCCTGCCAGACCTGAGCGACCTCAGCCTCTCGTCACTCTCTCTGGATTCAAAACATACAGAGATTCAGGGATAAGCCAACCCTATTACAGGGGGTGTAGATCACTGATGTGTGATAGGAGTTGAGGGACCCCGTATGGTCCTGCTTTCAGACTATCAGGATGTCTGGGTACTAATTTACACTAGGATTATTTTTTTTTTTTTTAAGATTTTATTTATTTATTTGAGACAGAGAGAATGAGAGAGAGAGAGCACATGAGAGGGGGGAGGGTCAGAGGGAGAAGCAGACTCCCTGCTGAGCAGGGAGCCCAATGTGGGACTCGATCCCGGGACTCCAGGATCATGACGGGAGGCAGACACTTAACCAACTGAGCCACACTAGGATTATTGTGATTTAGAAAATACTACCTTCCGTTCTTCCCTTTTTTCAAACCTCTGAATCTTGGTCATCTACCCTCACTGTCAGCTGACAGATGACCTTCTCACTTGAGTAATGAAGTGAACAGAAATAAACAACATTCCTGCACAAAATTCACCAAGCTACATCCATGTACTCTGCCTTCCATCTGAGTTCTGAATCCCACCTCTTTACAGGTAAAGGGGGTAGGGAGGATAGGTGAATGGATGAGGGGGACTATTTTAACTAGAGAAGTCAGCGAAGGCTTCTCAAAGAAGATATTTGTGCAGGGCGCCTGGGTGGCTCAGTTGGTTAAGCGACTGCCTTCGGCTCAGGTCAAGATCCTGGATCGAGTCCCGCATCAGGCTCCCTGCTCAGCAGGGAGTCTGCTTCTCCCTCTGACCCTCCTCCTTCTCATGCTCTCTCTCTATCATTCTCTCTCTCTCTCTCAATAAATAAATAAAAATCTTTAATAAAAAAAAAAGAAGAAGAAGAAATTTGTGCAAAGGTCTGAGTGAACTAAGGGAGTGAGACACGGAGAAATCTGGAGAAAGAGTGTCCCTGGAAGAAGGAATGACAGAAGCAAAAAGCCTGAGAGAGGAGTAAAGTTGGTATGTTCAGAAAACAAAAAAAAAGGCTGATGAGGCTGGAGCGTAGCAAATGTGGAGAGAAGGCAGATGAGGCTGGAGGGGAGGCAGGTGCCTAATGGTCCAGGGACTTAGACCATGGTAAGGAATTAGAATAAATTCCAAAGTGTGAAGGGAAGCCATTCACAGGTTTTGAGTAGGGGAGAAATCGGATCTAATATTTTTTAAATATAGCTTCTGCATGGAGAACGGATCTGGGGCAACCACAGAAGGAGGAAGACCAGTTAGGATCACAACGGCCTGAAATGGTGAGAGTAGTGAGGAACCGAAAAGTTAATAAGCCAACAGAGCTGGCACCTGTTAGACATGGGAAGTGAGGAAAAGCAAGAAATCAAAGATCACTCCTAGATTTTTGTCCTGAGGGGTCCTGGTAGGTTTATAATCCTATTCCCCTGAATCAGGGGAAATCTGGAGGCAAAGCAGGTTTTTGGTAGTAAGAGGGACACAAATACAAAAGTAAAGAATAATCCTTTTGGGGGCTGGTTAAATTCAAGATACCACCATTATAACATATATTTGTAAGGTATCAGTATAAAGCAACTTAGTTTTTGTTTTTTCCTTGCTATCCACTTAAACCTGTTCTATTGACGTAGTTCCCTGCCCCACTTTACCTGTTTTATTTTCTCACTGCACTTATTACTAGCTCACATATTACATATTTGTCTCTCCCCGGCCATCAAAATGTAAGCTCCTCAAGGTCAGAGATTTACCTCTTTTGTTTACCACTATGCCCCTCAAATACTGCTTGGCTCAGAGTAGGTGCTTGTTAAAATTTTGAGGAAGAGGGGCGCCTGGGTGGCTCAGTCAGTTAAGTGTCTGCCTTTGGCTCAGGTCATGATTCCAGGGTCCAGGGATCGAGCCCCATGTGTGTGTGTCCGGGGCGGGGGGCGGGTCCCTGCTCAGTGGGGAGTCTGCTTCTCCCTCTCCCCACCCCAGCTCATGCTCTCTCTCGTACTCTCTCAAATAAATAAAATCTTTAAAACACATTTTTTTAAAGATTTTATTTGAGAGAGAACATGCATGAGTGGTGGGGAGGGGCAGAGGGACAAGGAAAAGCAGGCTCCCCATTGAGCAGGGAGCCTCACACGGGGCTCCATCCCAGGACCCTGAGATCATGACCTAAGCCAAAGGCAGATGCTTAACCAACTGAGCCACCCAGGACACCAAAATCTTAAAACAATTTTTTGAGGAAGAAAGCAAGCAAGCACATGGGAGGATACTAAAACACTACGGTAAAAGGAGTTAAACTACAAAATAAAGTTTTAATAAAACTTCCATGAGTGAGTAAAAAAAGTAGCTCCCTTATCCTCTGGAGGTAGGAGTAGGGAAATGGAGAGACAGAAAAGAAGATGGAAAGACTGTATATTTGGACTAACGTACCATTCCCATATTGATTTCTAACCAGAAAATGATTTCTAATCCACTCCTAAGAGAGGCTCTACCCGGCATTGGGACACACAAGGGTGTAGAGAAGAGAACTGAAGTGGAAAAGTGGCACGTAGACCTGGAAGCAGTAGACTAAGCGAGACCAGTCACATGGCCACCAAGTTTAATTGTAGTTATCTTAGGATGAGAAATCTGTGCTCTGTGAACACCTATATTTCTATATATTTTACATTAAATTGGGGGGCTTTTATTTCTTAAAATTTTACTACATTGAATTTAGTATATGATGCTTTTGAAAATTTTCTGCCTGTCTTGGCTGAATTAAGGGGAACAAAATTTGGGACCTGGCTTGGGTGTGATAGGTGGTAAATGGTAGAAGTGATAGAGATGGATGAGAGACAGAAGGGTTAACATTCCTAAGAAGGAGGTAGGAAAATCTGATAACCCACCCACCAGAGGGCATATCCATGTGTAATAACTCCCAGGGCAACTCTCTCCATTCCCTCTTAATAAAGGAAGCTGCTCTTCAGTTTCTTCCACTCTCTCCCTCGCCTTGTTTGGGGTAAAGGCGGTGCAGTCCACTGCCTCCTCTCTTCCTGAAAGCCTGTCTCTTCCTGAGAAGCTCCCAGCTGTTCGGATTTTGGTATCAGCAATTGCTACCTTGTGTATGGCAAAATAGGACTCTCCCAGCTCTCACCGCCTCCTGGTCCCCATCCCTTTCTATCTCCTGCTGAGGGTCAACGAAATGACCTTCAGAATTGGCCTCTTTGAGACTTGGACTCTTTCTCTCATGAAAACATAGAGGTTCTTTTTCCAGAAAGGATGATCCTTTGTTTCTGTAAGAAGGAACCAGAAAGGAAAGTATTCTCTTAAATACAAACTCAATTGTAGCATTTTTTTTTTTTACTTTGAAGTTGGTGAGTTTTATATGAATCTACACATTTTTATAAAAAAGAAACCCAAATAAATAGCATTATCTAGCTTTAATAGTAGTTTCATTTGCATTCGCTCTGCGGCTTAAACAGCTGAGTGAGGCTCTTTCAGAGTAAATGACTGCCTCACAGAGTTGTCCATTGTGTCTTCCCAAGGAAAGTCTAACTGTGAAAGACAAATATGCTTTCTCCACCCCTGATGCCATAACTGGGATGTTTCCCTAATTCAGAGACAGGAATCTAATCTTCCACCTCTCTTCCGGCGGGGGAGCTCAAAGACTTAAGCCTCTAGTCTAAAATACAGGCCTTCTGGTACTCTAATATGCAATATTCTCCTTCATATCTGGGTCGCACTCTGCTAGAAGAGATATTTGAGGACAAACCCCTCCCTTTATATCATATATAGAAATTAAATAGGATTTAAATGTTTATTTTCCTAAAATCTGACCCAAACAGATCCATGAGTCTGTGGCAGTTAGGGATTGTAGAGAAACTTACTCTTTTGAAACCTAGGATGCAAGAGTGATTCTGACTCATTCCATCTTTTAAGGCCTTTAGCTAACAAGTGAATAGGGCTTAGTTTCAATACTTCTATCATTCCTCAATTTCAACTCCCATTCAAAAAACAGAGAAACAAACTGAGGGTTCTAGAGGGGAGGGGGGTGGGGGGATGGGTTAGCCTGGTGATGGGTATTAAATAGGGAGTGGAGGACTGGGTGTTATATGCAAACAATGAATCATGGATCACTACATCAAAAACTAATGATGTAATGTATGGTGATTAACGTAACATAATAAAATAAAATTAAAAAAAAAAGCAGCCAATTCTTAAACCACACCTCTAGTACACTGAGAAGTCCACAATGTCCAGCTCCATCTCTAATAGTCATCTGTTTCTACAATTAGTCATTAATCATTCTTTCTGCTGCCCGTGGCAGCATCAAGTATCTCTAAAAGCCCTCTGGCTTCTGCCACACTGCATTTATTCATCAAATTCTGAGCCTATTCAGAAAAAGGAAAGGGTGCTGCAGCTTACTTTGGGGCTTTTTAGGAACAGAAAATTGTACATCATACAAGCTCATTTTTCTTATGCTTCGCTAGGTTATTTTTTTAATATTTTTTATTATTATCAACAGCTTTACTGAGGTGTAACTTACACACCATAAAATTCGCCCATTTTAAGTGCAGAAATCAATGATTTTTAGTATAGAGTTGTCTAACCATCACCATGATCTAATTTTAGAACATTTCTGTCAGTCTAAAAACCTCATGCTCATTTACAATCACTGTCCATTCCCAACCCTAGGCCTAGCCCAACAACAATCTACTTCCTGTCTCTATAGATCTGCCTTTCTGGACATTTCCTATAAATAGAATCATACAATATGTGGTCGTTTGAGACTGTCCTCTTTCACGGAGAATGGTTTTGAAGTTCATCCGTTTCATAACATTTATCAGTACTTCTCTTCCTTTTAATCACCAAATAATACTCCATGTATAGATATGGCACTTTTTTTTTTCATCTATTCACCAGCTAATGAATATTTGGGTTGTTTCCACTTTTCGGCTATTGTGAATAATACTGCCATGATCACTCATGTCTAAGTCTTTATGTGGACATATGTTTCCCTTTCTCCTGGGTAGAAGTTGAATGGCTGGTCACATGGTCACTTAAAGTTTCACATTTTGAGAAACTGCCAAACTATTTTCCAAAGTTGCTGCACCATTTCACATTCCCTGCAGCAACATCTGAGGGATCTCGTTAGTTTTAATCAGATAAACATGTTATGTAACTATATAGAGAAATCTCTTAATTCCATAACTAGGCAATTGAGATGATTCTGTCACACACACCATAGTATATACTACCACTCTCCTCGTAAATCTCTTCACACTGGGCGTACCTACTATCCACCAAAACTAGTCCAAAATTCCATTTTTACTGCTCCAATTCCAATTTAAAATCTCCTAACCTTTAACTCTGAGTTGTTAGCAGTTTATTTTCTGTCTGTGCTTGTTATTTCTGAATGTTAGCAATTTGTTCTTTAAAACCAGACAAAATTGGGCGCCTGGGTGGCTCAGTTGGTTAAGTGACTGCCTTCGGCTCAGGTCATGATCCTGGAGTCCCGGGATCGAGTCCTGCATCCGGCTCCCTGCTCAGCAGGGAGTCTGCTTCTCCCTCTGACCCTCCCCCTTCTCGTGCTCTATCTCATTCTCTCTCTCAAATAAATAAATTCTTAAAAAAAAATAAAAATAAATAAAAAATAAATAAATAAATAAATCTTAAAAAAAAAAAAGAGGGGTGCTTGGGTGGCTCAGTCATTAAGCATCTGCCTTGGGCTCAGGTCATGATCCCAGAGTTCTGGGATCAAGCCCCACATCGGGCTCCCTGCTCAGTGGGGAGCCTGCTTCTCCCTCTCCCACTCCCCCTGCTTATGTTCCCTCTTTCACTGTGTCTCTGTCAAATAAAATCTCAAAGAAAAAAAAAAAGATTTTCTCTCCCTCTCCGTTTGCCCCTCCCCTTCTCTCTCCCTCTAAAAAATAAAAATAAAAAGTTATAAGATCTAATATATGTCTAATTTGAGCCCAGAAGCAGAATGGAAAGAATGAAGAAAAAGCAATCAAGAGATAATTGCTGTGAATTTTCATGACTGATGAAAAATGAACACAGAGTAATGTGTGGTGATTAACATAATAAAAAAAATAAAATGAACCCAGAGATCCAGGAAGCACAATATATACCAGTAGCTTAAACAAAAAGAAATCTATACCTAGACATCTCTAGGAAGAGTGCAGAACACTAAAGCCAGGGGCACCTGGGTGGCTCAGTCGTTAAGCATCTGCCTTCAGCTCAGGTCATGATCCCAGGGTCCTGGGATCAAGCCCCACATCAGGCTCCCTGCTCAGCGGGAAGCCCGCTTCTCCCTCTCCCACTCCCCCCTGCTTGTGTTCCCTCTCTCGCTGTCTCTCTCTCTGTCAAATAAATAAAATATTTTTTTAAAAAAGATAATATTTCTCAAAACTGAATTCCTCTCGGGGCGCCTGGGTGGCTCAGTCGTTAAGCGTCTGCCTTCAGCTCATGATCTCAGGGTCCTGGGATCGAGCCCCACATCAGGCTCCCTGCTCGGCGGGAAGCCTGCTTCTCCCTCTGCCTCTGCTGCTCCCCCTACTTGTGCTCACTCTGTCAAATAAATAAAATCTTTAAAAAAACAAACAAACAGGGCGCCTGGGTGGCTCAGTTGGTTAAGCGACTGCCTTCGGCTCAGGTCATGATCCTGGAGTCCCGGGATGCCTGCTTCTCCCTCTGCCTCTGCTGCTCCCCCTACTTGTGCTCACTCTGTCAAATAAATAAAATCTTTAAAAAAACAAACAAACAAAAAAACAACTGAATTCCTCTCTGACTCTTCCTTTTCCCTGGCCTTCCAAATCTGGCCACCAAAATCTAAAATTCCTTTGTTTTATCACATCAATCTCCCCCTTCCATTCCTTTTGCCACCATCCTGAGGCCTTTATCAACACAACATAGGTCCTTATAAAAAGTTCAATGATCTCCAGCTCCCAGTCCTATCTTATCTCTAATCTATCATATACAGCATATGCCAGATTAAAGTTTCCAACATTACTATCCTCAATGACTCCCTATTCCCTACATGATAAAATCCCAATTTTTAAGCTGGCATTGAAGGCTTTTCACAAAATCGCTCCAAACTAGTTTCACAGACTCTACCAGTGACTAGTCATCCACTCATTCATTTCACACACAATTAGACAGTTGCAAACTGTATGATAAGTGAAAAAGTATATTTGTATCAAGTGATGGGACAAAAGAGGGACTGGACCAAACTGACCAGTATAAGGAGGTGGATTGGAAATATTTTAAGATTTTTTAGATTGATTTATTTAAGCAATCTCTACACCCAACGTGGGGCTCAAACTCACAACCCTGAGATCAAGAGCCACGTGCTCTACCAAATGAGCCAGCCAGTTGCCCCAAATGGAAATATTTCATCGAGAAAGTGTTAAAGTGGCATTTAATAGAGTCTTGGAAACAGTGTTTTCCTCAAAAAAGACTGGGTATAGAGCAGAAGACCACAGAAAGGCCCCATCAGTGGCAAAGACACACTGGAAGAGATCAAGACCTTCAGGTAAACAAGTGCAAATCCCCACCCATTTCCCTGGATCCATCTGTACTACAAAGCAAAAGCCTTAAGCTGTTGGGAAGAGGGAAGTAAATTCTTCCCCACCCCCCAGGACAACAAGCAAAGATAAACTGCTTCTGGAAGAAAAGTAAAGGCAAAACCTGTCTGCCTATAGAGAAGTAAGAGGGGTACACCCAGGACCAAGGCAAGGATCCAGTGCTATTAGGATAAAGATAGAGGTAAAAATCCTCTGTCCCATAGGGAGAGACAAACCACTTCAGGCCCAGAATCCTACACCTATACCAAGCAGAGATCTGCTACTATTGGAAGAGGGGCAGGAAACTCACCCAAGAACAACCACACAGGAGTTTGGCTGCCACAAGAAGAAGGGAAAGGAACTCTAAGAACGTGCTATTCCTGAGGCCCAAGCACACAGAGCATGCCTAACACTGAGGTGGGATAAGAAAAACAGAAAAAAATCCCTCTGCTCCAACTATGAGCCTAGCAATAACAAGGAACAGCAGCATACTTCCGGGGATGAAGCAAGACCATGGGAGAGACTCACCCCACACCTCCCCCACACACCTCTGTGACAAAGGCTTAGGGAAATAGCCAAAAACTGAAAGGGAAGAAGGAATGCTTGAGAAAACCCTTCTGGCATGCCAGCCCCCACCCTAAGCACAAGGTAACAGCAGCCCAACACTAAAGGCATTTGAAGCCTGTAGCACACTAAAAATAACAATAGCAATAATAATACCTAAACCCAGCTCAACTTCTGACTAGATAAACCCAATTCTCCACACTAATGCTTGACAGAAGAAAAGAATTATCTATTTCTAGACATACTCAGTCTATACTGTTCTACCTCTATTGCCTGGTATTCAATCAAAAATGACAAGGGCACCTAGGTGGCTCAGTTGGTTAAGCGACTGCCTTCGGCTCAGGTCATGATCCTGGAGTCCCGGGATCGAGTCCCGCATCGGGCTCCCTGCTCGGTGGGGAGTCGGCTTCGCCCTCTGACCCTCTTCCCTCTCGTGCTCTCTCTCTCTCATTCTCTCTCTCTCAAATAAATAAAATCTTTAAAAAAAAAAATGACAAGACATGCAAAAAAAAAAAAAGGCAAAACAAAATAACCTCAAGTATCTAGCATTTAATAAATATTATAAGACACAGGGGGTGAGCAAGACAAAAAATAACCCACTGTCAAGAGTGAAAGCAATCAATAGAACCACATTCAGAAATGACCCTAGCAAGGGAACTATCAGAGAATTTAAGATAACTATGACTAATATGTTAAAGTATCTAGTGGAAAAGTGAACCTGTATAAATGGGAGAATTTCAGGAGAAGTGAAAACTATGTGAAAAAAAATCAAATGGAAATGCTGGAAATAAAAATCACATCAGAGACAAAGAATTCCTCTGATGGACTGATCAAGAGATGGGACAAAGGGGCGCCTGGGTGACTCCAGTCACTTAAGCATCTGCCTTCAGCTCAGGTCATGATCTCAGAGTCCTGGGATCGAGTCCCGCATTGGGCTCCCTGCTCAGTGGGAACCTGCTTCTCCCTCTCCTCCCTGCTTGTGCTCTCTGTCGCTATCTCTCTCTAGATAAATAAATAAATGAATAAAATCTTAAGAGAGAGAGAGATGGGACACAGCTGAGGAAAGTCTCAGTGAACCTAAAGATAGGTTAGTAGAAATTGTCCAACTGAAATATAAGTAGAAAAAAAATTTTTAAACACAAAAGAACAAACTAAGAGCTACAGAGCTATGAGACAACCAAATGGTCTAACATACATATAATTGGAGTCTCAGGGGCACCTGAGTGGCTCAGTCAAGCGTCTGCCTTCGGCTCAGGTCATGATCCCAGGATCCTGGGATCGAGCCCCACATTAGGCTCCCCACTTGGCGGGAAGCCTGGTTCTCCCTCTCCCACTCCCCGCTTGTGTTCCTGCTCTTGCTATCTCTGTCAAATAAATAAAAATCTTTAAAATAATAATAACTGGAGTCTCAGAAAGAAAAGAAAAATAGGGCATAAGAAATATTTGAAGTGATAATGGCCTCATATTTTCCAAAAAAAATAATGAAAGATATCAAACCACAGATACAAGAATCTAGAGAACCCTAAGCAGGATAAACAGAAAGGGGAAAACAAAAAACAAAACACCTAGACACATCATAATCTAGCTATTGAAAAGCAAAGAGAAAATCTTGAAAGTGTCCAAGAAAAAAGAAACATCAAAAACAGGAACAAAGATTACAGATTTTTAATTGAAAAATGAATTTTTTTAAAAAATCAGAATTATGACAAAATTTATACCACTGTCTCATGAGTTTTCACATTCCAAAAGGTTCCATAATTTCTATTATATTAACCATTACCTGCTCCTTTTACAAAATTCACTTTCTATGTAGGTTGTAGGCAGCTTAAGCCACTCATTTGGAGTCATAAAGTGCCTTGAATTAGAAATTCTTGGGAATCTGGAATGCAGTTTGGCCTTTTCAATCTCTTTAAATTCTTTCATTGTATATATTTTGCCTGCAAGAAGATTAGTAACCTAGATTAGCACCCTTAAATGCAACTCCCATTGCTCTTGGGTTATGAAATCACATAACAATAGGCACTGAGTACCAGTCTCACACTGAAGAAGAGTTCTTTTTTCATCATCTTTGTCATATTGTGCCTTTTTCAAAGGGTCACGAAATGGTGGAATGGTAACCTACAAGAAAAGCATGTCTTTGAGGACAGGACTGCAGGTCTTTTTCAGTCTACCTTAAGCATCTATGTATGACTCTTAGACCAGAAGAATCAAGAATATAGTATTTACAAACTACTTCAGTGTAACCATTATATATATTTAACACCCTACAAAGAAATGAGGGCACTCCGCTACATCTCTTAGCAAGGCCCTCCAGTCATGGTTAGCTCTTGTTTTAATGGCTTTTTCAGATCACTATGGATATTTTTCTTAGACACTCTACTCAAACTCAGTAAGTGGTAGTTTCTTAAAGGTTATGATGTGCAATCTAAAACTGTATCAATAAATTATTCAAACTCAACTACATTAAAACCCATTGGTCTGGGGCACCTGAGTGGCTCAGTCCTCAAGCATCTGCCTTTGGCTCAGGTCAGGATCCCAGGGTCCTGGGATTGAGTCCCACATCGGGCTCCCTGCACCGTGGGCAGCCTGCTTCTCCCTCTCCCACTCCCCCTGCTTGTGTTCCCTCTCTCACTGTGTCTGTGTCAAATAAATAAATAAAATATTAAAAAAAAAATCAATTGGTCAATCTTTAACTTTGAATGGATCTTTTATCTATGTCATGGGTTGATTATTTGGAAAAAATTGTATCACTGAGTTTTGTGAGAACTTCCAAATGTTAATACATTTCATTATACTATAATCACATTTATTAAAATCATTACCCCTCTCATCAGAAGAGTCTAAGAGCATTGGGAAGCTGTCACACTCATGATGGTGTTTTTCCAAAATTCAAATTTTTTGCTTGAAAGCTCATTTTACCATTAGCAACAAATATTGTCAGTTGGTTTTCTTGAAGTGACAGACTTACTTTATTAATTTCCAGAAAATGTCTGCCAAATAACCAACACTTAATAACCACAGTTTATAAGACATTCTTTCAAGTAAAAATGGTATACCATGGGAAAAAAAATTAACCAGTATAGCTCACAATTCATACAATCATGCTGCATTTCAGTAGGCAGCAGAAATGCTCCTTGCATACTTCCCATTTCATCACACAGAATATTAAAAAGATGTGTACTCAGGAGCAAGATTTAATAAAATTAATAACTTTTAATGTTCGATCAAGGACATTCTTAAGTGAAATTGAATTTTACTGTGAGTGCATGGCAATGAAGAATATAATGACAACCAGTAGGATTTGGTGACATTGACTAAGCAGTTCTCAGGTACCAGCAGTTTTTTTTTAAAGACTTTTATTTATTTATTTGACAGAGAGAGAGAGAGACAGCGAGAGAGAGAACAGAAGCAGGGGGAGTGGGAGAGGGTGAAGCAGGCTTCCCGCAGAGCGGGGAGCCTGATGTGGGGCTCGATCCCAGGACCCTGGAATCATGACCTGAGCCGAAGGCAGACGCATAACGACTGAGCCACCCAGGCGCCCCGCCAGCAGTTTTATCCACCATTGATTTTGCACCATCAGAGCAAAAGTCAACAATATGAAAAAGGCAAATATTTGGCACTATTATGAAAATACTTGGCCTAATGGACCCCTAAAAGGGTTTCAGGGTTCTCAGAGGTCTATATCCCTCACTTTAAGAACTGCTGCTATAACTTCAAAGTGCTCAGCTTAACTTAAGAGGACACCTATCAGCTTCGTTTAGAAAGGCAGCATAGTAGGGCGCCTGGGTGGCTCAGATGGTTAAGCGTCTGCCTTCGGCTCAGGTCATGATCCCAGAGTCCTTGGATCAAGTCCTGCATCAGGCTCCCTGCTCCTTGGGAGCCTGCTTCTCCCTCTGCCTCTTTCTTTCTGTCTCTCATGAATAAATAAAATCTTTAAAAAAAAAAAAAAAAAAAGAAAGGCAGCATGGTAAAAGAACTGCAATTCTGATACAAAAAGATGTGGCTTCAGGGCCTCCTGGGGGACTCCGACGGTTAAGCCTCTGACTTTTTATTTCAGTACATCTCAGGGTCATGAGATCCAGCCCCAAGTTGGGCTCCACACTCAGTAGGGAGTCTGCTTGAGATTTTCTCGCTCCCTCTCCCTCTGCCCCTCCTCCCTCTGGGGTAACTGTGTGTGCTCTCTCTCTCTCTCAAATAAAGTAAATCTTTTGTGTGTGTGTGTGTGTGTGTGTGTGTTAGATTTTATTTATTTGACAGAGAGAGACACAGCGAGAGAGGGAACACAAGCAGGGGGAGTGGGAGAGGGAGAAGCAGGCTTCCCGCTGAGCAGGGAATCCGATGCGGGGCTCGATCCCAGGACCCTGGGATCATGACCTGAGCCGAAGGCAGACGCTTAACAAATGAGCCACCCAGGCACCCCAAATAAAGTAAATCTTTAAAAAAAAAAAAAAAAAAAAGATAAAGGGCGCCTGGGTGGCTCAGTTCGTTAAGCGACTGCCTTCAGCTCAGGTCATGATCCTGGAGTCCCGGGATCGAGTCCCACATTGGGCTCCTTGCTCAGCAGGGAGTCTGCTTCTCCCTCTGACCCTCTTCCCTCTCGTGCTCTCTATCTCTCATTCTCTCTCTCTCAAATAAATAAAATCTTTAAAAAAAAAAAAATCTGGTTTCAAATCCCAGTTCTGCCTCTTACTAGTTATGTTACTAGCTAGTTTATCTAAGGCTCTATCATGTATCATGTCAGTTTAATTTTCAACTATTAAAACACGGACAATAACACATACAATTTGGCAAAACAAGTAAAAAACCTGCTTTGTCTGCAAATGCCAGCCATTTAAAATATCTATGACTCAAGGATTTTGTTTAATAATATCCACTATTAGCAAAAGTGTGGGAAAATGGACTCTCTGGTGGGGGTACAAATTTATACAACCATCCTGGAGAACAATTTGGCAATATAAATCAAAATAATGCACAACCTTTAACTCAGCAATTCTACTTCTAGCAACTTACCTAAGGAAAACCTTATGAAATAAACAGTTACAGGGAAGTTCATCATAATGTCATTTGTAACAGCAACAGGTCAAAAATAATCTAGATGTTCACAGTAGGGAATATGTTAAAAAAAAATGATGGTATAGCAAGATACCATATATAGTTAGAAACACATCTATGCTCTGCTATTTACAGCTGTGGGACTCTGGAAAAGTAACTGTTTTTTTTTTTAAACAAAGATTTTATTTATTTGACAGAGAGAAACAAAGCGAGAGGAGGAACCCAAGCAGAGGGAGTGGGAGAGGGAGAAGCACCCCTCTGGAAAGGTAACTTAACCAATTTGTGTCTCACTTGCCTCATCTGCAAATTATATCATGTGGTAGCAGTGAAGATGAAAAAAAAAAAAAAAGTCCTAACATTTGGTTAAGCCCTCAGTGCAAGTAATTTTTTTTTTTTTTTTTTTTTAAGATTTATTATTTTAGAGGGGCGCCTGGGTGGCTCAGTTGGTTAAGCAACTGCCTTCAGCTCAGGTCATGATCCTGGAGTCCCAGGATCAAGTCCCGCATCGGGATCACTGCTCAGCAGGGAGTCTGCTTCTCCCTCTGACCCTCCCCTCTCTCATGTGCTCTCTCTTTCTCTCATTCTCTCTCTCTCAAAAAAGATTTTAGAGAGAGAGAGGGAGAAAAGGAGAGAGTGGGGAGACGGACAGAGGGAGAGAATCTCCCCACTGACTGTGTAGCCCAACTCGGGGCTCGATCTCATGACCCTGAGATCATGACCTGAGCAGAAAACGAGAGTCAGAGGGGCGCCTGGGTGGCCCAGTCATTGAGCGTCTGCCTTCGGCTCAGGTCATGATCCCACGGTCCTGGGATCGAGCCCCGCATCGGGCTCCCTGCTCAGTCAGAAGTCTGCTTCTCCCTCTCCCACTCCCCCTGCTTGTGTTCCCTCACTCACTGTCTGTCAAATAAATAAAACTTAAAAAAAAGAAAAAGAAAATCAAGAGTCAGAGGCCTAACCGACTGAGCCACCCAGGCACCCCAGCTGTTATTAACAGAACACTATGCAATGATTAAAATTATGTATTTACATTTATTGACAAAGAAAGAAGCAAATCATAGAACTATTGAGGAAAAAATGCAGATTATAAAACATAATGTGTGTTACACCAATTTGTAAAATAAAAATGTGTATATACACCACATATAGAAAGCAAGTCTTGACTATCCAGAAGAATATACAGAAAAATGTAAGTTCACTCTGTGTAATGAAACTGTGAGGGTTTTTTTTTTTAAGATTTTATTTATTTGAGAGCAAGAGAGAGACAGAACATAAGCAGGGGGAAGGAGGCAGAGGGAGGGGAGAAGCAGACTCCCCCCTGAGCAGGGAGCCCCACACAGGGCTCCATCCCAGGACCTTGAGATCATGACCTAAGCCCAAGGCAGATGCTTAACCCACTGAGCCACCCAGGAGCCTCTGTGAGTGGTTTTTTAATTCTTTACCTAAAAATAGATTTGGGGGTTGGGGGGCACCTGGATGGCTCAGTTGATTGCATGACTGCCTTCGGCTCAGGTCATGATCCTGGAGTCCCGTGACTGAGTCCCTCATAGGGCTCCCTGCTCGGTGGGGAGTCTGCTTCTCCCTCTGACCCTCCTCCCTCTTGTGCTCTGTGTCTCTCCTCTCTCTCTCTACCCCCCCTGCCCCTCCCCCAACTCTCTCAAAAATTTTTTTTCATGTATCATGAAAATGTATTACATTTGTAACAAATGTTTAAGTCTATGAAATTTTTAAACATTACCTATTACTCAATTATTACACAATATTTTCAAATTTTATAGAGGTTTAATTTACTTTGGACTTTGGCTTTTTTATTCCTTTCTAAGATATGGAGATGGGAAACTATTCTTAAGATGTTACTGCATTCTTAATGATGTAATGTATGGTGATTAACATAACAATAAAAAATTAAAAAAAAGATGTTACTGCGTTCTTAGGGAATCACTGAAGAACTACTTATATACTAGGGCTACTTAGAATAACCAACTACATAATACCAAAAATAAGAAGTCTATCCTACCTTCAGAAAACTTGGGTCCTCTTTGCTCATATAAAAAGGATCATACTCTTTTGGATCATAATGTTCTATAAATGCATTTCCCTATAGGAAGGAAATAAAACTACACATAACAAAAGGTACACAATTAATTTTGAGCATAACAGGATAACAGGATTCAAGAGTCACACAGTTCCATTCTTCTGCTTTAAAACAGCATTAATGACAAATGCAAAGGGGAAGGGAAGACCAAAATTGAACTTAAACTTAATGTAGCCAAGTAATAACTATTATAGTGACAGAAGGAATCTACTTAAAATTTGCAAGAATAATGAATGTTGGAACACTAACAGACTTGGGAATTTGTTTTTAAATGCTTACTAGTCAAACATCTCAGATCTCTTAGAAATGCCAAAACAAGTATTTTATAGCATTGTAAATAACTGAGTCCTATAGCTACACATAAATATCCTGAACCTATAGCCCAAATTTAATTGGTATATAAAATTAATAATTACATTTAAAAAACAAAGAAAACTGATTCTAATGTACACATTTAAATCCAGACCTAACCCTCTTCCCTCCATCCTTTCCACATGCCCTGCATTTAAGAACAATGTACACTGTAACACAGTAGAGATTATACATATATAGAGTCAGAAGGGGCAGGCTGTTTGGATGATTATAAAGGTAATCATAGTTTTAAACCAACTGAAACAAGTATCAAATGACCTCTTCGTACCTTTTTATTTACATGTTTTAAAAAACTATCTAATTCTTCTTGTCTCCTTTTTTTAATCTTCTTATATGAACAAACTTTTTCTATAATTTTCTTCTGGAGAGGATGTGCCACATGGTCAGCCCATCTTTTATGTAACATCTCTTTTCTTCTTGCCTTTAAAAAGTCATGATGTTGTAAACACTTATCTAGTTCCTAATAAACATTGATGGAAAAGGCAATTATTTTAAAGCTTTGTTGTTCTAAAATTTAAATTCATTTATATTCCTAAGAATAACCTACAAAGTCATTCATGAATTCAGTCATTTATTTGGCTTCTACTGGGTGACACACACTATACTGGAAATAGTGAATAATACATAGATAAATTAGACAACATGCCTACTCTCCCTGAGACTACAAAACAAACATACAATAGAGGGACAATATAGCAAAATACACACACACACAAAAACAGAGACTCAGATACTTGTACATCAATGTTCACAGGACCATTATTCACAATAACCAAAAGGTGAAAACCCAAGTGTCCATCAACAAAATGCGGTATACACACAAAATGGAATATTAGACAGCCATAAAATGGAATGAAGTTCTGACACATGCTTCAAAACGGATGAATCTTGAAGATAATATGCTAAGTGAAATAAGCCAAACAGAAAAGGACAAATATTGTAGGATCCCACTTATATGAAATTATCTAGAATAAGCAAATTCAGAGACAGAAAATAAACGAGAGGCTACTAGAAGGACCTCTGGGGCAGGGGGGATGGGAAGCCATTACTTAATGTGTATAAAGTTTTGGCTGGGGTGATGAAAAAGTTTTAGAAATAGAAATAGAAGGGCGCCTGGGTAGCTCAGTTGGTTAAGCGGCTGCCTTCGGCTCAGGTCATGATCCTGGAGTCCCGGGATCGAGTCCCGCATCGGGCTCCCTGCTCAGCGGGGAGTCTGCTTCTCCCTCTGACCCTCTTCTCTCTCGTGCTCTCTATCTCTCATTCTCTCTCAAATAAATAAAAATCTTTAAAAAAAAAAAAGAAAAGAAAAAAAGAAAGAATCCCCACAAAGTAGAAAAAGAGAAGTCAATTAAAACCATCTCAGAGATCGCTTAAGGTTAATCCTAGGGGCTAATGAGCATTTTCAATTCTATTTCCTGTATTTTCTAAAATTTGTAAATGATGATGCACTACATCTAACATGGATAAACAAAATTTAATTTTTAATTGTGACACATTCTGTAGCCAATTCTTACCTTAATTATGTAATTTTCTCTATATAATATTGATTGAATAGCTGCATCAATATCTTCTTTAGCTAATGCCTAAAACAAAATGAAATTTTGAAAATCAAATAAAAAAAATCAAATTATGGGGGCATCTGGGTGGCACAGTCAATTAAGCATCCAACTCAGTTTTGGCTCAGGTCATGATCTCAGGGTCCTGAGATCCTATCCAAAGTACTTTTTTTTGTTGTTTTTTTTTAAAGATTTTTTCTTTATGTGTGAGAGAGTGAGAGAGAGAAAGCACGAGAAGGGGGAGGGTCAGAGGGAGAAGCAGACTGGAGCCCTCATCAAGTACTTCTTAAAGGGTATTTGAATCTTTCTGCTATTTGGTATCGCTCATTCAAGGGCAAAAAATAACTAGATCACAGATATTTTGACTACCAGCATGGTCAAATCACTTGCCCAGAGTCGCATGGTAAATAGAACCCATCTTTTTTTCACATTTCATAAAATGTTTTTACCTTTATGAGTTAAAATAGAATCGGGCCTCTATTTGAATTCATTCAGTCATTAGTGAATTCTACTTTAATTCATTTAGTCTTTATAGCTTCAAATATTAATTATTTATATACAAGTCACATTTTCAGATTTTTTTAAAGATTTATTTATTTATTTGCAAGAGAGCACATATAAGCAAGGTAGGGAGGGGCGGAGTGGAGAGAAAGAATCCCAAGCAGACTCCCTGCTGAGCGTGAAGTCCAAGCAGGACTCTTATCTCACAACCCTGTGATCACGACCTGAGCAGAAATCAAGAGTCAGACACTTAACCAACTGAGCCACTCAGGCACCCCACATCTTCAGATTTTAAAGCAACACAATCTTCAGGAAATAGTTCATAACATTAATTTTTTCCACTTACATATCTTCCATAAATACACACCAGAAAATACAAGAGGTTGTAAAACATGTCACAAATTGTACACTTAAAAATGGTCAAAAATAGCAAACTTTGATGCTATATATATTTTACCACATTGGAAATATGATTAAATTTTTTAAATTTCCCAAAGTGAGAGACATTTGGGATGGGACTTTGAAATCATCTTACAATTACACAAAAACAAAATATTTTCAAATTAACAGTCACTGGGGGTGCCTGGGTGGCTCAGGTCATGATCCCAGGGTCCTGGGACCGAATCCCACATCGGGCTCCCTGCTCGGCAGGAAGCCTGCTTCTCCCTCTCTCATTCCCCCTGCTTGTGTTCCTGATCTCGCTAGTTCTCTGTCAAATAAATAAATAAAATCTTAAATAAAAAAAAATGGATAAAATCTTAAAAAAAAAAACACACCTCAAATATATCTAACTCCAGATTCATTTTCTTTGTTATTTCTGCCTCACAGAGTTGCTATTCCTGGCAAATCTGTTGTTCTCAAAACCAAGATGGTATTGAAATAATATTCTAGACAAAAATATAAAAAACAACAATCTGAAGACACTGGAGACTGAACAAAAACAGAGAGAAACAAGAATGTAGTCAACCCTTGGAAAAAGAGAATAACATTGGTATAAGTTTTCAGTTTTTATGGACTTTTGTCTAAGAGCAGTCCTCCATCAGAGCTAAAGGTGAGGGCTCAAACTCAGAAACATGAAGTTTTACAGAATTCAAGAATGAGAAGACGGGGCACCTGGCTCATCAGCCAGAAGAGCATGTGACTCTTGATCTCAGGTTTGTGAGTTTGAGCCCCAGTATAGAGATTACTAAAAAAGACAAACTTAAAAAAAAAAAAAAAGATTTAGAAGACAGAGTTCAGGGCAACCATAGGAGCTGAAAAGTCAAAGGAGGAATACCTGAAATGAGAAAGCTGTAGAGGAGATGCCACCAATTTTACAAATTAACTGACCAAATCTCTGGCGGATCCTTGAACTATTATGTACAAGGCAAACTCCTTTGGAAAACAGTTTGGCAGTTTCATCAAAAAGTTAAATTCACTTACTATATAACCCAGTCATTCTACAACTAGAAACCCAAGAGAAATGAAAGCGTATGTCCATGTAAAGACATGTACATGACTGTTCCTAACAGCTTTATTTGTAATAGCCAAAAAATGCAAAGAACCCAAATTTCCATCAGCAGGATGGACAAACTAGGGTATACAGCACAAAGCAAAAAAAAAAAGGAATGAAGTACTGATACATGCCACAACATGAATTGTAAAATAATTATGGTGAGTGAAAGAAGCCAGAAAAAAGGAATACATGCTGTAAGATTACATTTGTATAAAATTTTTTTTAATTTATATTTTTTTAAAGATTTTATTTATTCATTTGAGACACAGAGATAGAGCGAGCAAGCATGAACAGGGAGAGAGGCAGAGGGAGAGGGAGAAGCAGGATCCCTGCTGAGCCAGGAGCCCAAGGTGGGACTCCATCCCAGGACCCTGGGATCATGACCTGAGCCGAAGGCAGACATTTAACCATCTGAGCCACCCAGGCGCCCCTGTATAAAATTTTTTAAATGCTAAACAAAAATGTAGTGACAGCAAGGAAATCAGTGATTGCCTTGAGGGTTGGCAAGGAGGGAAGGATGACAAAAGGGACACAAGAAGGAAACTTTGGGAATACTGAGTATGTTCATTCTCTTGATTGTGGTGATGGTTTCATGTGTGCAAAGATCAAAATTTTTCAAACTGTACACTTAAAATATATGCAGTTTATTGCGTATAAGTTATACCTTAATAAAGCTGTTTAGAAAAAAATTACAATAGTTTTTAAGAACACAACAAAGAAATAAAGTGCTTCAGAACAAACTTCATAACTTTGTTATATAGAAAACGTAATCAACTGCCTATGATTCCACCTTAAAAAGCTAGAAAATGAATAGCAAACACAAAGTTAGAACAAATGGAATAATAAAGAGCAGAAATGAAACAGAAAACATAGAAAAAATATTAAGCACAAGCCACTTCTCAATGCAACTACCCAAATACAAACTTCAAAATGCCATATTACTGTTACCTCCATAAAAGAAAGTGGCTGTGGTTCCAACCATTCTCTCGATGTCTTGGGCTTGGTAAGCTTGTCAGGTACCCGATCATCACTGTCTAAATTTCTCATTGTGGTCACAAAAAAACTGAGCCCCTAGAAAAACTAAAAAAGTTTAGCTTATTCAGTAATGAGAATTCAGAATCCTACTTTCTCTTCTGTTTAATTAACAATCAATCCTTGCGACCACGAACGGAGGTGGAACCGATTCTGAATTAGTAGCCACCCACACTTTCCGTAACAAGAGGCCTTCACCATCGTTTCTGATGAGGTCTTCAGAACCAGCCTCTTTTAAGCAGGGGAGATTCCCTCTGGACTGACCCCAGCGTCGCCCCAGAATTCAGGCTTCCCAAGTCCTTCTACAGCACAGCCCGTTCGAGCCGGCGTGGCAATTACCAGCCAGGCCTCTAGGGGTCGCACTGCCGCAATTTTCTGACTCGGGAGAGCTGCAACTTTCTGGCTACTGACGCCAACACAGAGGGCTTAGAAGAAAGGGAGGGCTGCTTAGAGAGGGAGGGGCTTTCACAAAAATTTGCGTGTCCTCAAACTCTAGGACGCCCAAAGCAACCCCAACACACACACACACACACACACACACACTCTCTCTCTCTCTCTCTCGGACGCCCAAAGCAACCCCAACACACACACACACACACTCTAGGACGCCCAAAGCAACCCACACACACACACACACACACATACACACACGTTTTCCGAGGGGGAACTTGCGCCCGCGCCCGTTACACACCTACAGCCCCCATCACCCCGTCCCTTCCCTCCCATCTTGTCAACAAGATTAGCGCGTGCTCCGCCCGGCCTGGCAGGAAAGTTGCAGACCGCCACAGGTACCTCAGCTCCCTTCCCAAGACTGGCTGGGCCTTGGGCTCCCTGCAGCGACCCCTCGGCCCACGGCACCGCAGTGGTCGGCTGCCACCGGAGAGTGCGGCCCCGCCAGCTCGGGCCCGTCGCCTCGGAAAGACAGAACGTTCCAGTCTAGTGTCTCCTTGACGCAGCCCCCAACAACCCCTGCGCCGCCACAGACGTCGAGTCAGAATTCTACCAGGCGACACTGCGTCGCCGAGCCCCGAGCAACTTTGCTCCCGAGCCCAGGCCCGCGGAGAAGTAACCTGAGCGCCTAGGGTGCGGGCGCTGGTGGGCGGGTCGTGGTTAGCAAACCAAACCTCAGCGCTTCTCGGTGACGGGCAGATGTTTCAGCCAATAGCTAGGCAAGTCGCCGTTCCGCCCCGCCTTCCCCCGCGTCCGTTGATGGGTGGCTGCTCCGCGAGCCCTCCGTTGGCCCAGCGAAGCGCTCTTTCCCGGACTGTCCTGTTCCTTGTGCTCTCGCCTGGGCCATCGCCCTCCCCCAAGCCCTCTGTGAGCCTTCCCAGCCAACACGACCCCCCTCCCTCGCCTCCAGTCCCTCTTCAGGGAACCCCCCCGCCCCCGAGCTAAACCACTGCGCAGGGAGTGGCCGGAAAGGGCGCCTGCCTTCAGGATCCCTTAGAAGGACGAGTGTTTGTGGAGGTTGTCCTTATGAGGACGGCCCAAGAAAATGTGGGGAAAAGCCCGCTTTAAATGCACTAAAGGTGTATTTAGTCCTCTGTATCAGTGTCCGTAGTTCGCGCTGATGCGGGGGTCGGGGGGGGTGGATAAGGACCAGCTGATCTCATTTACCCTTGTTTACTTAGATAAGTGGCTCTGCATCCCGCAGGTGTTTGGGTTTTGGTTTATAATCTCAGGTGATTCTGATGCGAACCATTGGTATAACTTGAAAATTGTGAGCAGTGATTTTCCAAATTCAGTAACCTTCTATGTGAACTGTGATTTTCTATGATTCTATTTTCCTCTTTGAGTATTGGTGGGTATTGGATGATGGACCACCATTTTCACTCTTCATTTTCACTACTTCCAAAGTGCACGCGCTTAAAACTGTCCCAAGTGTCTTAGGGAGATTTGTATTCGCGGGCCTTTTTGAAGCTAGCCAGAGTGAATCGTTTCAACTGTAGTTCTTTTCAGAGCTGAGGGAGCATGAGCCATTTGCAGAACTTACTGTTAGATACCCTCCTGGGAACAAAGCATGTGGACAGTGCAGCCCTCATCAAACTCCAAGAACGAAGCTTGTGTGTAGCATCACCAGGATTTAGTGTAAGGAAAAGCAAGCTTGGGCATAAGCATTTTAACAAACTTTCTTTGTAAAGAGCCATAGTAAGTATTTTAGGTTTCTGGGCTATATGGCCTGTGTCACAACTACACAGCTACTATGCAGTTTTAGTGGGAAAACGGGCATAGACAATACATAAAAGAATGGATGTGACTATGTTCCAACAAATCTTTATGTATGAACACTGAAATGTGAATTTCATGCAATTTTTACATATCACAAAATATTATTCTATTATTTTTTCCAATGACTTAAAAATGTAAAAGCTATTCTTAGCTTGCATGACTACAAAAACAGACAGTGGGCCAAATTTGGCCAGCCTGCCATAGTTTGCCCACTCCTACTCTATTTAACTTCTGCAGATAATGCCTGGTGATGTCCGAACACTTGTGAATGGATTCGCCAAGAACCCTTTGCAAACCAGAAGAGAAGGATTGTATTTCAAGGAAAAGGACTACAAGTGTATCCGGGCAGATGACTATTCTCTTTATGCTAAGAATGTGAGTGTGCAAGATTTGAAGACAGCTAGGTAAAAATCCTTAAGAAAAGAATTTTATTACAATTTGCTGTGTCCCTCCTGATCCCATTTATAAAACGATCTAAGCCCATTACTACAGTAGCAATATCTGAGACAGCAGTCTAATGCTAAGAAGACATATGTAAAAGAAAGTACAGAGAACCTAGTTGAGAAACATTCATTCCAGAATCTATCACCTGAAACTTACCTGAAGTATCTCTTTTAACTACTCCATACTCTACACCCTCCTCCTTTAAAAAAAAACAAAAAACAAAAAACATTCTTTTGCTTAAAACCTCTCTTGGCTCTCTGTTGCTTATAAGGAAATAAGGAGATGAAATTCAGATTTACTGGATGCCTTATCTTATGGGTTAAGCACACTTCATCTGCCTTATAAAGTAAGTAGCCTCATTTTACTGGATCGAGGAAACTGAGAGTTCACAAGGTTAAATAACTCTTCCTTAGCCATGCAGCAGAAAATGAAGGTTCTGGGATTCAAGCCCAAAGCTGTCCAATTCCAAAATGTACTACCTTCTCATTTTTTAAAAAGATTTTATTTATTTATTTGAGAGAAAGAGAGAGAGATAGTGAGAGAGCATGAGCAGGGAGGAGAAGGAGAAGCAGACTCCCGCTGGACTCCCACTGAGCAGGGAGCCTGACAAAGGGCTCAATCCCAGGACTCTGGGATCGTGACCTGAGCTGAAGGCAGACACTTCATGGACTGAGTCATCCAGGAGCCACCCAGATGCCCCTATTAAATCAGTCGTTCTCAATGGGATAGGGGTATATTACAATCAGTTGGGGAACTTTTTCAGAATACACATGCTGTTATTACAAGTCTGAAATTTTTTGAGCAAAGACAACTAAATTAGTGGAAAAGAGTGAAGAGTCCAGAACTAGATATGAGTGTATGGAAGTAAAGAAATGGCACAAATTGTGGCTGGAGTGTAACTGCTAGTCCTGTGACTAGAACCCAAAGAAGGACATTCTGTTTTACTCTTATCCAGGAAAACACTGGTGTGGTTGTTGTGAAGACCCATCTGTATCTTCTGGTGGCAACTTACACTGAAGGCATGTATCCTAGTGTTTGTGTGGAAGCCACAGAGAAGCTGGGTAAGTTTGTCTCCCCATGCCTGTCTTTGTTCCTTATGGTAATCAGACCTTCTGACTGCCAGTAACTGAGAGCCAATACAAACCGCCTAGGGCAGAAGAGAGGAATTTATTAAAAGGATGCTGGGGTTACTTATAGATTCACTGGAACAAGGGAGTGCAACTGAGCCACAGTGAAAATGGACTCCAGGGACAGGAAAATTGCTAGAATGCTTCTCTAGTCTCTGTTTCTAAGAGGGTCAGCTTTGTTCTGTCCCATTGCAAAGCCTCCATTCCTGGCTCGTATCATGGCCAAGTCTCACATCCTGCCTCTTGATTTCTTTCTTTCTTTCTTTTTTTTTTTACTTTTTAAAGATTTTATTTATTTGACAGAGAGAGACACAGCAAGAGAGGGAACGCCAGCAGGGGGAGTGGGAGAGGGAGAAGCAGGCTTCCCGCGGAGCAGGGAGCCCGACGTGGGGCTTGATCCCAAGACCCCGGGATCATGACCTGAGCTGAAGGCAGACGCTTAACGCCTGAGCCACCCAGGCGCCCCTCTTAATTTCTTTTAAGACCCTGATTTGGGGGCGCCTGGGTGGCTCAGGCGTTGAGTGTCTGCCTTCAGCTCAGGTCATGATCCCAGGGTCCTGGGAATCGAGCCCCACATCTGGCTTCCTGCTCCACGGAAGCCTGCTTCTCCCTCTCCCACTCCCCCTGCTGGCGTTCCCTCTCTCGCTGTGTTTCTCTCTGTCAAGCAAATAAATAAAATCTTTAAAAAAATAATTCTAGGAGATAGCTATATCTTTGAGAGCAGGGACTGGGTCTTAACTATCCAGTCATCCATGTATCTCCAGTATCTAGCGTGTGGTAGTCACTCCCAATGTCTGTGGAATAAATATAATGAAGCATGTTGTGGTGATAATTTGTTGCTCACAGATAATAACCATGTTCTGTTTCCTTTCAGGAGAATATCTAAGAAGAAAAGGAAATTAAGTCATCAGAGGACTATGAAAGACAGCTTTTATTATTTTAGGAAATAGATCCTAAAGAAAAAGTCATGCCTTATTTTGTGGTTGAAAACACTAGGAAGAAGATACTAAAAAGGAAGAATGAGTTAAGGGAGCAATTTTTCTTATTTCAGGAGATCCTCTTCTTTAATTGGAATTCTTTGATAAGCTTTACTTGGTTTTTTTGTTTGTTTTTTTAAATGTTGGTCATTGACATGAGTGTGACCAACCTGATCACTGCCCAGGGCATATCTGTTGAGAGACTCTTCCATGAGTGTCTTGCACTCCCATGCATCTT